AGTGTTTTTATCTGTCTGTCTTTTATATATGTATATATGTCTAATACAAATTAACAATAAATAGTTTTCAACTATTAGGACTTGATATTTTTACTATGCATGGTTTAATAAGAAGACAACTATCTTAATATGATAACAAAGAAATGAGGAATGAAGGTAGTTGGCCACTAAAAACTTGTTAGTGAAGATGTCTTATAATTAATTGGTTGGTTATGTGTAATATTGATTTTATTCATATAAAATATATTTATTATTAATAAAATTTTTCTTTATTTTTAATATTTAATTATATTTGATTAATGAATCTAATGTTTGATTAATGAATCTAGAGCCAAAAAAAAAAACCTTGCATAGAAAATTATAAAGTTGTTATAATTATAAAAAAATTTTATTAAACATTATTCCTTAATGTTACTAGTTAATGTTCTTTTAAAACTATATATTGATTAAAGTTGTTGAGACTGATGCATATTATATTTATTTTTCTATAAAAGAAAGTAGTTGCTCTCATAAAATAAGGTATGAAGGATACTTGCAACTAATATGCAAGTGCTTATGAGATAACATGTATATTGAACTGACTCGCAAAAGAATCTTATATGAAGAGATCACTTGTCTATATAAAAAGCTCATGTGATAATTGTGTAAGTGGTTTGTAGACTTAAGATTATTAAGTTATCTTAAATAGAAATTGTTATGTTTTGATCCTAACCATATCCTAATCAAGGGTCCTAATCAAGGGTAATATATGGGCAGATATTGAGTATATCATAAACTATACAAAGATATTTAAGTAATCAAGAGATGATTCATTACCCTAGGTGAATTAGAGAAAATATTTCACCTGTTCTCAAATAGTATTTATTGTGAAATAATTAGTCAAGGTGGAATAAGTTTTGAGAAGAGTTTCAAAATTTTATTCAAAGAATCAATGATTATAATACTGAGAACTAACATGATTTAACAAAATAGATATATTCCATATTATAATATCTAAATCAGAACATTAATGATGAAGGGATACTAATTACATTAATAAACTAGTAATTGAAAAGTTAAGTTAAATTACTTTTGACTTTTTTAATATTTGAAAGATCATGATAAGTTACTAAACATTGTATTTGATCTTGAAATATATATCAATCAACTATTGAATTGATAATAAATTAAATTTTTTAATTTATTTATTCTTATTTTATTTAGGATTATGATTTAAATTTTTGTCAAATTATTAGGAACCTAGTGGGTGATAACAAAAAAACTATTATTGGTAATCAAGTATGACTTGATTGTAAATAAATTTTGGCAATCAAGGACTAGAATGTAATTAACATAGAGTAGTACAATTCTAGACCCAGAAATAATTAAGTAAGGACTTGATTAAATACATTTCTAAAATTAGCCTAAAATAATATATGTAATATTATTTGAGTAAATTAATATTTTACTAGTTATAGAGTTTTTAAGTTTTTTTTATAAATAAAATATTATGCCTCTTATTTTCTAAGGTGAATAGAGTACAATACAAAAATATCTAAAATACAAAATAAAAGAACTAGCACTTTAAGAAATAATAATCTTTCTCTCCTAAAAAGATTTAAAAGATTTTTTATTAGTAGTTTATGTGAATTACTGTTAAAAACTAGACACTTAAATAACTTGTAGTTTTAACAATCAAGTTTTGAAATAATTATTCAAAGCACAAAAGAATATATAATCTTTAAGTAATATTTATATAAATTCTAAACAACTTAAGATTTGTCTAAAAAAATCTTTGAAATCCTTAAAAAATTTTAAATTTATCATTTCCTTTGTATATGGTTTCGGAAATCAAACAAAACTCTCCACCGGCTATTACATATTCTGAATTTTTATTTCAAAATTTAAAGTTAAAATACTTATAGAGATGAAGTGGGACTTTGAAAAAATATATTTTTTTAACAAATGGAGGCATATATACGCTCACAGATAAGACATTCTACTGGTAACATTGTGTATTTTTTATCCCACGTATGTAGATGGGCATGTGATCTAATATTCATGCCGGGGTCAAATCTTAAGAAGTCAGAATACTTTAATCAATAACAATTCATAAGAATATGTGCTGTATATTTAAGAAGCTTGTGAGTTGAGACAAGATCTTGGTTTATTGTATATTCTTCTTTTGATTATGATCCCAGAAGCATGCCTGGCTAGCAGATTAGAGTAATTGATGCTGCTTTTGAGTTTTTAATTTGTAACAATATTGGCCACGCTATTTTGAAACAAAAGCCTCCACTCTACTCCACACTGGGCACCCATGGAGTTAGAAAGACCAACACCGCAGTTTCTTCTCAGACTTTCTGCCTCGTCTCCTACTAATTTAATGACAGCCAGCTATTTCGAAAAGGAAGTTCATTTTACGTGCAGATGCCAGAATAAAAATTCTTTATTTATTGCTCTAAGAAAATTACTGTTCTTCGTTTTGGGATGATTTTCAAAAACTTTAACGGCACCTCCAGTTTTTTATTTTCTTCTGTAAAGTCGTCAGAATAAATACTCAATGATTACTCCAACTCCTCCATTTCCTCTAACAAAATTTGGCCTGCAAGCAAACAGCTAAAGATGGAACAGATGAAGCATAGCTGCAGAATTCTCAAATTAAACTGACGTATAGAATAGAGTTACAGTTGTATAACGCAGATGGGATGCTTTGCATAATGCACATTGCCTCAAAAGCATAAATATTAAGCTTATTTACTGAAAAGAGGGTACGAATGGATCTTTAATCTGATACGGTTCTAAGTGAAATCTCTAGTGTTTGTTTTATGGGCTTATATTGTCAGTTGTCACCGATGCAGATGCACATATATAGTGGAAATTTTTTAATAAAATTGTACTCTCCACGCCCCTGTCATCGTTAATTCAGACAGAATCGCCGTCTGTGGCAGACATGCATTAGTTGTAACGTGTTAGTCTTCGATTTTCACTACCTTATTGTTTGTCCAGGTATTTACGCTCACCTAGCTGGGCTAGATGTATTGTGTGTGTCCATGCTGTGACACATAATTATAACAGATGGTCTCCAAAACCATTTTTATACTCATCTTGATTGGATCGTGTTGCTATTAGTTAACGATTATCAACTGTACTGTGTGTTCTATAAGCTGGAAACTGGAATGTCTTGGCTGTAGATTACAATCTTTCTTTCAAAGATTCCTTCTGAAAATAATTTATTTATGAGGAATATGCATAAGAAAGTCCCAATTAAAACAACGTGAAAATCAATGTCCAGAAATTAAATGATTAAGGTGAGGTTCACAAAATCCCAGGAAATAACAAGGTGAGATCTTGTACAGAACACAACATCTTCAAGGAGGCATGTTACTGCCATTGCATGAAAGCGAAATAACAAGGTGAGATCTTGTACAGAACTCAACATCTTCAAGGAGGCATGTTGCTGCCACTGCATGAAAGTTGGATGATCGATCACTTGTTTCACTCGTATCAATTATGGGATAAGAACTACCAATATCGTCTTTGGCCCAATGACAAGATTATCATGTCAAAAGAAGGTCAACTTAGCTCTTTTGTTCCCACCAACACTCGAATTTATTATCGTTGTATATGAACTTGATGTTCATAATTTAAAAAATCCCATATAATGCGAAAAAGGAGTTGAAATGCAAAACATGGAGACAATGCAAGAGATAAAATAGTGGCTGGAAAAGACAATACATACACATAGCAGAGCAAAAACGAGGACAACTTGATATATAAAAACAGAGACAAACTCCAACGCTCACACTCATAAAATTCAAAAAATGAAGATATATAATATAAAAAACGGGGACAAGACTGACATCCATACACTTTTTTGAAAGAATTTAAATGACCAAGCAATACAAAAGCGAAGAAGAAGAGAAAAAGAACAAAAAAAAAGGGGGGAAAGGTAGACTATACACGTATTCCTAGACATGAGTGGGAAATAAATGAAGCAAAAGAAAAAAAAGTTTGGGATGCAAGAGTCACTACATAAATAAATTAAATAAGCTAAGTTTAATTTAACAATAAGAATTCAATAACACAAAAACCATCAATAATGATTAGAATATGCCAATTGCTCTGCCCAAATAGAATGGGTGTGCCCAGTTATTGACAAGTGTACAATACATGCTATCCAAAATTTCATTATACTTAAGTGAAGTAAATTTTCAAACTGAATAAATTTGAATTTTTGTTTGTATTAATTAAAATATATTTTTAGTCTGCCTAGACTGGCCTATACCAACGGACTACCCAACATGCATTGTCAAGAACACATCTTAATGTACCTTTTAGAATATATTTGTTTTTGCTATAATTATTGTGGTTGTGGTTGGAAAAAAATGATTTTAAAAAAAGATATTTTTTTTTATAATTTGTGTATATATTTTGAGTGTTTGGTTAAAAGTATGGTTTGACTTTATTGTTGTTAAAAACATGTTTGGTTAAACTTATGGTTGCAGTTGCTTTTATACTCAAAATGATGAAAAAGGACATACATAAAATAATTCTTTGTGTTAAGAGAAAATAAAACATTTTGTCCATATAAATACTGGCAAAATAATAAAAGTGTGATTTGTTATTACAATTAAATATTATTGCCCCATCAAACTATTTGCAATGTCATCACGAATATAATCCATATGCGATGCCTTCTGGTATCCAGTTGTTTATGATTATGGAACGACATCAGGAAAAGTATATAGAGGAACGAAATCAGGATGGATATCAAACTTGTTGAATACAATATCTTGAATTAGGATAGCTATCAAACTTGTTGAATGCAACATCTTGGCCTGACTTCCGTCGAATATAGTTCTGCAGCGCCATTGATGCAACAACAATTTTAACCTGTGATTTATAAGGAAACTCAGGCATGATTTGTAAGATTCTCCATCTTTTCTTCCAAACTCCAAATGTACGTTCGATTACACATCGTAATGATGAATGAACTCGGTTAAATAGTTCCTCCTGACTTCGTGGTTGTCCTCGCCGATGAAATTCTGGAAGATGATATCTCTCCCCTCTATATGGACCCAAGTAACCATACTCATTTGGATATCCTGAATCAACGAGATAATACTTCCTTGAATAAATATACTAATTGTTTAACGCTTACAAAATACTTCATAGAAAAACAAATTTGACTAGCTGAACAACAACCATATATTTTTTTTGAGTGAATACCTTCAGGTGGCTGCAGAAATTGTACGTTTGTATTTCCAATCGCCTTATAAAATATTCTTGTATCGTGAGCACTACCTTCCCACCCAGTCCAAACAAATGTAAATTGCATGTCAAAGCTACATGTTGCCATTATATTTTGTGTTGGTATACCTTTTCTACTAATAAATAAAATTTGATTTTCTTGTGAAACACAAGCACGTACATGTGTACCATTAATCGCTCTAATGCAATTCTAAAACAAAAAAATTGCTGCCAAAGCAATTTAATTGCACTTAAATATTTGATTGTAACCTTTTTAAATATTTAACTACTTGTAGAAAGTATTGCTTACCTTGAAATAGGGCATGTATCTCGGATTCATTTCAATTTCCAATGGTGTTGTTGTGAATTCTGGATCTACTGGTCTTATTAAATCAGCTGCTAGCAAGTAGACAGAATGAAGAACCTCGTTGAAATTTCTGGAAACAGTTTCACCTGAATGCTGAAAACGCTCATACACTTCCCTATTCGAAGCACCTAGAGCTAAAGTGTAGAGAAACATGCCTACTTTCTCAAGAACACTCACCCGTCTAGACGGTTTCAACCTCTACATGGTTTCCAACTCAAAAGCCAAACTCTTCAATATGTCTGCATCCATCTGAAACATGTTCACACAACGTATCCAATGCCCAATTAAAATTTCAGTTAACTATCGCATGCCAGTGTTGTATGAATTCATACATGGCTTTTTGTAAATATAGGTATTGTAATACAAAGCCAATGTTCCAACAGTGCATATGACTAATTTAGTTCGATCACACTCTCTATGCCAAAAAAAATCGCCATCATCATCATCATCATCCTGTTGATTTAGGTCGTCGTCCGGAACCTCACTGTTATAGTTCTCATAACCATCACTGAAACTACCTCCAAAACCACTTCTTAAACTTGTACCAACAAACCCATCAAACACATATTGACCAACATTATTCATAACATTTTCACAATGGCCATCAAAAAGCATATTAAACCAATTCGCATCCATATCTACAAACACATCTTAATATTCGTTCTGAACCTGCAGAGTACTGGTAAATAATACATGTTCATTGAATAATATGTTTTGATTTTTAGTGTCATTAATGACGGTCTTAACACAAAATATTTATGGTTGATGAAGCGCTAAATATTGAACATGTTTAACTTATACGTAACTTATTAAATATTTTCCAACACAACAATAATTGTAATTTTCAACCTGAAATGTAACGGTAACATGACAGTTTTCACTGCATAATTTATATACATTATTTTAAACAATAATGGCGACATTAACTTATATCAACAAAACATTCATTGTAGCAATCCCTAATAATCGAACTTATTTATAAAGATATTAATTTAAACAAAAAACACTTAAATTGAAGCGACCCTAACAAATCGCATAGATTTAACTTACAAGTAACACATTCAATATGTTACAGCACAAACTTAAATTGAACCCTCAAAAAAGTATTCATACACATCCAATGCTTGAAATATGTTGTGGCAGGCAATTAAGGATTCATGAGAAAAAAACTAAAGATAAGGGACTGTTATGTAAATAGGAAAAAAACAAAAATGAACTTACTTTATTGACAATAATAGTAGCCCTATCAGATTTAACATCTAAATTTGATAACCAAATATAAAGATAAAGTTGTATTAACTAAAAAACAGCCCTAAAATCAACAACTAACCTTCTAAAGTCAATGAACTTGACTTTGCAATGTAAAAACAGCAACAAAACCTCCTGAAAAGAGCCCTCAATACATGTGGGAATGCAAAATACTTTGTGGCCAGCCAATAAAAATGCTTTGGAATGATAATGCATCTTAAATAGAAACACACATAGCACAAACCAATATATATTCACTGTCATACCCATCAGCAAACCAATATTTGTACCGTGACTAACCATTCAACCTATCAACTCCAATTCAACCCTCTATTAAACATTCAAGTAAGGAATAATAATTCAAGGCTATAACAACAATTTCAGTCAACTAACATTCAACCAATCAACTGCCATTCAACTCTTAAAAAACCTTGAAATCTGTTAAGTTACAATATGAAATTCTAGGCTGAAAAAGCAAACTGAACACAAAGTTTTCTAGCCATTCAAACTAGGCTATAAAAGTCAATATGAAACCTACAATTACAGCTTGTAAAAGGTACAATAATAGCTATTAAAAACATCTCAAACATAACCAATTAGCCTACAACTACAAACACAAAGAAAGTGCTCAATATATGATACGTTACAAGTTAAGAAACCTGGGAAAAAAAAGCAAAAGCATAACCATTTGCATCAACCTTTAGCAATTCTACAGTTGCAGCAACACCTCATGCACCTAACCTTTTGTGGACTTTTAACTGCGAGAAAATACATAACCATACAACATGTTAACAACTCATTGAAATACAAACCAAATATTATAAGTTTGCTAAACATTAAAAAATACTTGAAATATGAAATGCATGCAATAATGACCAAAATATATGACACACAACAAAATTTAATTGCTGCAGTATATAACATAAAATAACATACATAACTGTTATTTTCCCTATATCAAATGTAAACTTACTTTAAGGTCTGTAGGTTGCTTTTCGATCGAATATTAATTTCAGCCACTGAAATTTTTGATCCATATCACCAATTGCTGTCCACATTTCCCTCCTACTTCTAACTAAAAAACACTCAGTTGTAAAACAATACAGCTCACTATCGAACACCACGTCCTCAATGGAGTGAAACTCCTTTATCACCTCTTCTATGTTACATCCTTTTTTATCCAAAACACTTGACATGCATTCACTCTTGGTAGACACACTATCAACTAACTTATCTAATTGTGAAAACAAATGCGATCCCTTTCCGACACCCTTTTTTTTCCTCATATTATTGGGAACTTTGTTGCACACATTTTCTCTTCCCACTTCTACTACTAGGATTGCTTGTGCTGTTGGCAAAATTGACACCAACCATCATATTATTGACATCAGCAATAAAATTTAGTAGACTATCCTCTTCAAAATATCCACTACCTTCATGAAGATGAGGGTCCTCATTAACTGTGTTAGTTTGCCTTTGAAAGACACCATCTTCATCAGAATTCAGACCCTATGATGGAGCCCAAGCATACTGACTAGTAGCAATAGTGTTTGTAAACATGATATCATATTTACAACACAATGATGGATCTATACTAGCATGCCTAAATTTTCTTGCTCCATGTATCTCTTAAAACAAAGGGACAATGAAGAAAAAAATACATAAAAAATAATATAAAATCACAACATGAAATAGTTTATTACAGCTCTAAATATACTGAAAATAACAAACCTGGTTTTTAGCTTTCCACCATTCGTCAGGAGCTACAATTGTTCCAAGTTCAGCACTCCATCCTATTCTTGTTTCAGAAATCAACCTTTTCCATATTCTCCAATCTTTTTTAATTTTGTCCCACTTATTCTTTAATTCTGCTTTCGTTAATGCATGACCAATTTGATCCTTAAAGCAATTCATAACATATTTCCACCCAGCTTTGTCAAAATATGTGTTGGGTCGCATACCTTACTCAATTGCTTTAATACATTTGTTACAAAAAGCGTGCAACATCTCTCTAGTCTAACAAGCCTTATCTTGTGATTGAGAATTTTCCATATTCTCGGTTAAAATATTTTATCTAATATATAATTAACATGTTAATTTCCTACAGGCAATGTAAAGGACATGAAATGCACAATCTATCTTAATTAATAAATTGCAACCTGAAATACAAAATGCAAATTAAGAACATAGATTTATTTCCATTAATGTTTCAACAAGCCAATGTTTGCATTGCCTAGTATTACTAATATTTCTTTCATTTTCTCTAGCTTTTTTCCTTCTGCCACACATTTAGCCTTTGTTCGGTTTCCATGTAGTTTCTACACCACATGTTGCTCTAAACAGGGCAATAAATGATAAGTTCAATTTCATGTGAAGCAGCTACTGAAGGCATGTATCAGCACCCGAAATATTCTTAAAAAATATTAAACATATTTTATATTTTCTTGATGGGCTTACAACCTAACTCCCTTCTTCCAATTTCCATTATTGATAAATAATAATAATAATAATAATAATACAAAAGGCTATGAAAACTCACAATATTTTTTGTTTTCCCCTAATGTTTAATTTCTTAAACGACATAGAAAATGAAAGGTAAATATCATAATTCTCTAACCATTTCGGGTATAATTATTTTGCAAATAGAAACAGAGAATCAGAGATAATTGTGCAACCGAAACAGAGAAACTGACCTTGAATTTTTTTGTGCAACAGAGACAGAAATTGGTAAGATGCTTGTGCTTTAGCTTTCCAGGAGGTTGATTTTGATGCTCTCTTTGGTTTTGGCAAGCAAGACACAGTAAGAGAAAATTTTGGTTAGAGAACACAGTTTGTTTTAGCTTGATCTGTATGTTTTTTAAGGTCAAGTGCAAAGAAAATTACCTGGTTCAGTGCATGTCTTCTTCAACCGTGAAAGGAGTTCATCATGGCAGGAGATCGATGACAGATGGGCTTCTACACTCGGCTACAAACACTGTCACGATCAGTGAGAGAATAGAAGAGTGGGTGTGTTTGCCACACTGAAAGCACTAAAAGGAGCACTGATTTTTTGAGAAGAGGGCAGCTGTGGAGGAGGAGAGCTGAGGGAGGTGAATGTGGAGGCAGGGAGACGACCGTGATGTTGAGCAGGGCTAATTAAATTTTTAGTAAAGGTTGTAGTGTTTTCTGAACAGCAGCCGCGGAAAAAGCAACTCCCACTTGCTTTTGCTTAACTTGTGTTTTGAACATAATTTATGTGGGCCCCATAAAGTTTGAAAACTCTGGTAGCTGTTAACCAAACAGCTTCAAATAATAGAACCGTTGGAAAAGTGGATGCTCCTACGTAACCAAACAAGTTATTAAATTCTTAAAAGTTAGAAAGACATCATATGTCATCAATGAAACACACCTAATTTTTTTAAATAATTCTTTAAAATCATCCACTAGTATTCATGGCGCACACCAAATTCTTGTGCAAAATAGAGCCACCTTGTTTCTCCTTAATGATTATCTCTTACCAGTATGTCTCCTAAAAAAAGCACATTACGAGTACCAATCTTTCCACCAATGAGCACTAACAATTGTCATCAATTACCAAGGGCACCTAGCTCTCTTTTACGATGTTGAAGCCTAAGCCACTCTTTTTATTTCCACTCTCTCCATAAGGTAAGTTCATAAGACTTAGATATAAAAGTATCTCATGTCAACAGGTAAAAACACATTTAACACATCTAGCAAGTTTTAATAAGAACAAAAAAAAAAGTAGGTGCAAATAAACAACTTTAGTTCTTAAAGAAACATGTCAGAACAACATGTAAACAAGTAGACATGAGAACAATTATACTCCAACTCTCTAAAAAACACTCTCCTACTTTAAAAATACATTCCCTTATTGAACATTTTATGAGTGGTTATCGTTATTAACCTACTCCTTGTAAAAAAAAATCTTGACATGAGTCAGGATTAATAACTATACAGGTTCTTAAGGAACATTACCACCAGTTACTAAGAGATTCTTCACTTTGTTATCAGGTGTTGCGAACTCCTCTTTTTTAGGATTGCATCTCTATAAAGAATTTACAAAATGTACAAAGTACCTTAGAGTTTGTAAGGTAAGACACATAAAAAATCCACCTAGTAACATTTAATAAATATGCTTAAATGTGATAACACAATGTAGAGCTTGACTCCATCTATGAATTTGATGATCTCTATACTAAACTTATTTTTCATTTCAACACAAGCATATCAGTTAAAAACAGTATCATTAAGCTTAGTGTCATAACACAACAAGAAGATGAAAGCATCAAAACATATCTCTAAAAGTTTAATGAAAAAATATTCAACATGAAAAATCTAATTGAACCTATTATTGCTGACTCACTAAAACTCTAATTAATAAAGTCCATAACTATTTTTTGTAGGAGAAATTATAAGTGTTTCCTAACATAACTTTCCTTTAATGAAACAAATAATGAAAAACTATATTTGAATAGAGAATGTAAATGTGACATGACAATGACAACTTTATTTTTAACCATAAGGAGCATAATCTTCCTAACATTATTAGTCTCTCATAAATTATTATCAATAAAGAAATGAAAAGATCTTATATGTTTAATAACAAAAATATTAACCTTTAAAATTTATAAATTCAAGATCTCTCATAAAAAAGAAAAAAAAGATGTGTTAATTAATTGCCGGGTTTTTATTTTTAAGGGGCTCAACACTATATATAGATGCTAGGGATACAAACAAAAGAGACAAATAGATAAAAAAGGAAGTCTAGCTAAAAAAGAAGAAAAAGAAAGTCAAAGCGAGAATAGTGTATCAAAAAAATAAAATAAACAACCCTATTCATCTTCTTTCTTCTCTCTCCAAGTCAAAAACCTAGCCACCCTTTCCTTTTATCTCCTTCGAAACCCAAAGGAAAAACATCGACAACTAACCCACTATTCATCATCTCAAGTTCATTAGAACACCTGCACAACTTCCAACTCTCTCACCTAATTTCCACAACAATTATTATACACCATCATGATAATACCTTTTAAATTGAACAACCCTACTTACTTGATTGACTACGACCTCTCTTTTGCCAAACACAGCACTCATAACCACTTTTAAGGTTGTTTTTGAACCTTAACACGTTGCCAAACACAGCACTCATAACCACTTTTTTTCCTGCTGAAATTAGCCTCGATAGCCATCCATAAAACAACCCAAAAACATAGCCTTTTCTCACCAAAGTAGTAAAAATCAACATTAATCAACCTTAAAATCACCTTAATCATAGCCCGAACAAACCCAGAAGTAATAATAACTAAATAAGCCTAAAATCACGCCCATTCCTAGTATGTTTTGTAGAATAGATTCAACTTGTAGGGATACACACGTGCCATCAATATCCAACACATTCTCCACACTTGTGCATGTAAGCCATGTGCCGCCATTGCTTGGTTTGATTTTAGTAACTTCCTATTGATGTTAGCAGCTTCTAAGGTTGTTTTTGAACCTTAACACGTAGAGTTTTTTCATAAATTATAAAATCATTGATTGTGTTTTATTTTCCAAATAACGTGTTATATTATTAATCTTTATTTATTTTTCAAATGACTTATAATATTATAATTGTTGCATATATTAGTGAATAAATAAAGTGTTGTTAGTAGGCATCATTGATAGCCTCGAAGTTATGAAGCTATCAAGAAATTAATATTCTTTGAGGATGGAAAATAGGGTTGGGAGGATTGAGATCAAATTTGATTTATCCAATACATACTGATTGTTCTCGGTGTTGAAATCGTAAGGGTGAATAAGTGTTTGTTCATCGTGATGCTTGTCTTGTAATAAATGTTTTTAATATGTTTTATACAATAAATTTTATTTTGTGTTCATTTTCATGTTTTGTTTTGTATTCACTATCTTTCAAGAACATGATCTAAGACTAATGACTCGTTATACATTAAGCTCCTCTTGTTATCGAACAATTTAGTAATGTAGTTAATTAAACCGGTCGATCTTTCTCGAGAAGAAGCAAATATATGTGTTGGCATCGAATAATTACATTCAGATTGAGAGTATTCATTACGTTTGTTTCAGAATGTCTTCTTATTTAGCTTGCAAAAGTACTGGAACCCAGCCAAACTCATTAATTAATTATTCAATAAACAATCTTTCGTGGTATATTCGGTTTTTTAACTCTATTTTTTGCGGTGTTTTTAGGAAAGGAAGATCAATATAAGCTAATAAAATTTTACAAACATTTGTATTCTGATAAATTGAATAAACATATCAAATTTGTATAGACTTCATAAGCATACCAACTTTTCTCATCTACTCTCGACATTTTGTTTAAGAGTGGGTCAATAGCAACATTCATCCTAAAAATAATTGTGCAGTAAGCCATGCTTAATTCCATTTTTTCGCATCCATGCTCAAATAACTTCCTATAAGTTGAGTTGGCAGGAATTAAATGATGCGTGTAATGGAGTTATGAGAGCACGTGTGGCCAAGTTGTACTTAGATGTCAAACCCACCGCATTCTAGGTGGTAGGAGAGCCGAGTGTCCTCCTTTTGAGCCATGAAATGAGAGAAATCCCGTGTGCAATAGCTGTGTGTGTGCACGTTATTTCACAATCACAGCTAGCAAGCTTCCCGTAGAGAGGACCCAGCATGCAACCTCCATGCAATAATGAGAGTTAAGAGCGACGGAGACTATACCTAAAGCTAAAAAACCCTTCGAAATGGACCTGCCTTAACCAACCAAAACCTTGAATCGGTCTCGCCTCCTTCATGAAAGATCTAGATACAGTTGGCTTCATTTCAAATATGCAAGTTGTGATAGGGCGTGTTGGAAATGATGTAGAATTATGAGCTCAAATTTGTGCGAGAACTAAAAAACGCTTGTGTTTTATGTTGTTCTCATTGGGCCCAAGTTACATTGACACTGGAAATTGTATGATCTAAGCTGACATAACGACAGCGATAAGAACCAGTGAGTTGTCTGGCCTCCAATTCATAAGGAGGGTGCGGCCATATGTCGGGGAAAAGGCATTATCATACCCAACATGAAGCTTGTTGGAATGGGGACAAACAATCCCCCATTATTAAATGCTTGGACACATCAATTATAGTTCATTTACCTAATGAAGATTAAGCGAGGAAATTATGTTAGAAATCGTATTATAATAGCGTAATACTCCTAACTAAGATCTCTATGCTTTTTGTTTTATTGTTTTTGTTTTTGTTTTTGTTTTTATTCCCTTGTTTTTGCTTCATCTGGGACAGTAGTACTGAGAACTTTTGGCCATCTTTAGGTTTCTTTGCAATTTGAAATTGAGAAGCAAATATATTTCTCTCTTCTTTTACCAGACAGTATTTCTTTTTAAAACATGTATGATCAAGAACAGCTTTTACACGAGGATAACCTCTTTTTTTTTTTTTGAGAATTTATACTAGAATAACCTTGACCAAACGCCAAAAAAATTTAAAGATAATGTTATCGCAAGGCTGATTGGTCAAAAAGCAGCTTTTATGAAGCCTACGTGTACCCTCCTAATCTTAAACCCCACCTCCACCATACATGTCTGATTCTTTTCAATCAATTCAAAGAAAGCTAGCTTAGCTAGGGCCGGACCGGACTGGGCCAGGCGACAGCGCCCCCCCCCTCCACTTTTGCTGTCTTCGGCAATTCTTTTCTTGAATGCAGCCTGGCTCTTGGTCTCTCCCTCTCGCCCCCCTCAACTGTAAACGTGTGTGACGGGCCATTTTGAAATTTATTCAGAAAAAGACACAAGGCCCTTCAACTCAGTTAAAAAGTCCACATTGTGGATTTAGGAAGCGTTTGAGAATGTTGCTGGCAGCCTTTTTTTTTTTTTTTAATTTTAATTTTAATTATATTCATTTATTTATTTATTTAAATTATTTTGATATTAAAAATAAATTTTAAAAAATAAAAAAATATCATTTAGATATATTTCTAAATAAAAAATACTTTAAAAAATAATCATTATTACAACACTAAATATGTATTTAGCAGGCAACCGAAATTAGCTAGAGGTGTTAAAATTATTATTTTTTGTAAACAACTTTACTTTTTAATGATTTTACGTAATTTAATTTTAAAAAAATGTTTTTTAAGTGTGCTCCAATTGTTGACCTATTCATAACATCATGTTGTTTTGTTAGCCCATTGATCCCTGCCACCCTATCTAGGTTTAGCAACGACGTAAGATGAAAACAATTAACCTGTGCTGAGTATAACGGTCAAAGAGAATGATTAGTTAAA